GCATAATGCATTGTATCCTACAGTTTGTCAAACACATATCAAATGCTCGATGTCCAACAAGTTAAAATCCAAAATGTTTAAAAGAAGGAAATGGAGGACATACTATTCCTTCAAATAGCTTAAGTGTAAAGATGAATTTTATAGTTATTTAGAGAAAAAGCACTAAACCCATTATATTGTTTTGTCACACAGCCCTTGTTGTGTTCATTATTGAAATTATGTGAACAGAGACATTGATTGAAGCCTGTCAGCTTGTATATAGTTTCAGGCTATTATGACACCGTTTCATTGTTGCTTTCATGATATACATAGTTGCCTGAAAGCCTTGAGAGGTTGCAAGAATTTCTTTTTGAGATCCACTTCAGGGAATATTTTGATAAAATATTAAGTACTTACTGGGTTTGGTTGTGTGAGTTTCTCTCTTGCACATTCTATGATTCTGTTGTTCCAAATGCGGGACTGCTGAGCAATGATTCACTTTCTTTGTACTGTGTGGCTGTTTCCTGTGATGTTGCAGACAATTTAAACTGCTCAAAATCAGTCCTAACAATCTGTTCCAAGTTGTTAATACAACCACAATCCTCACCTTGTGGAGGCATGTGTGTCAGAGTCCGTAAATCCTAATTCTTGATATCGTTTTGATTTTGCCTGACTTCAGGCTGCTCATTGAGATGTTGTTGCACATTATATAAAAACAGCCATGATGCTAGCTGTATTTTAAAAGATGATCTATAAACGTTGAGTTACTGTGAGCGCTTTCATGGGGTCCAAATAGTTAAAGCTTGTTTTTCGTGTCCAGTTCGCACCTTTTGCACATTGAATACACGAGTTTGATTCCTGTGTGGAGAAGTTACTTCGAGTGTCTTTGTCTTTACTCTGGGATGTTGTATCTCAGTCAGGGCCCTGACAGACACGGTAGAAGCAGCCCATCTCTTGCATTATCTTAGTTGTGTTTATAGGGGTGTAACTGTGTTGTAATTTCTTCACGGTGACCTGTCAAAGTCACTGTAGGTCTATGGTTGCTACACTAAAAGAACTGCAGTAAAACTGTTGAGACAATGTAGTGAATGAGATTTGTTAAGGTTTCTCACAAGGAGATTGAGTCAAGGTGAAATGTAATGATGTCATTTTAACTGGCAATTTTTAAAAGATATACTGCACAAAGTTTTAGACTAAGTTTTTTTTAGCTGTTTTACTTTCTTGGAAGTATCCAATGGGTTTGAACCACAATAATTTTTCATAACCAAAATTTATTTAAGCATAGGTCTCTCTAAGTTACATGCATTTAGTAGCGTTAAAGATTTAAGAAAAAGGGGTACTTTAATATTAAGTTTTCCTAAATGTACACGGCTTGATACTGTTTTATATTTGTTGCGCTGGCTGCAGTATTTTTATATGCACAAATGGTCAATAGATGTATGAATGGTTACATACTCTTGAAAACTCAGTTCTGTATTTGAGATCAACATTATTCTTCTGCTCCCTGTTCTTTATTTATTAATAATGTATGTGTGGCACAAGTTGGCGAGAGATAGTAATGTCAAGTAATTGTGGGTTTTTGTGTCAGACTGAAAACATGCTCAAAAATAAGGAGCTGGG